ACACACACACACACACACACACACACACACACACACACACACACACATACACACACACACAGACAGACACAGTTATTTTTGGTTGGTTTTTTGTTGTTATTGCTGTTGTTATTTCAGGTCAGCTGGCAACCATAAAGAAACGGTAACCTATTTCTCCATGCTCATTTCCCTATGAAAATTTCCCACTCTTTGCCATCCCTTGCCTTGAGAGAAAATGGAAAGATAAATATATATATAAAAAAGAAGCAACATCTTCCAGATATATTATTGTGCTTCCATTGTCAGCTTTACTCACTCTCCCTTTCATCCTTTCTTATTCTCTCAAAGCCCCTGGCATTGGGGATTTCAATCCATAATGCATGCCTCGGATGGAAGCATTCAGAAAAGCTATATCCATCCATCCATCTACACATCCTTTCTGCCTGTCCATCCATTTCTGTCTCTACAGGTGACCGACACTTGTAAGAACATAAACATTCTTCTTGTAAAACTCAGGGCCAATCAAAGACTGTTTTGATCTGGAAGCTGAATTGCTTCCTCCGTCTGTCATCAAAATATGCCTCCACATGGATGCACTTGCCTGAGATTAAGACGTTTCAGATCCGTGACAGCATTTTCTCAGAGGAAATGGGAGATTGACAGCGCTACATTCAAGAAACAAGTCCTGTCGAGTTCCACTAATCGAGGAAAGCGATGTGTGGAATTTCAGGTGTCCCTCATCCACCTCCAACATTTCCCCTTCAAGGAAAATGATCAAGCTGCAAAGGGATGCTGAAGGCGACCATGTCGATTGACATGGTGGTCTTCAACATTCCTTTTGCATCTTGATCGTTCAACTCAAAGCCTCTTGGCTTTTTCAATGTCAGCCCCCACCGTGGTGGGCAAAAATGTGTGGACCACAGTCAGATAATGCAAAAGAAGAAGAAGAAAATAATGACTCTTGAATAACACCTGTAGCAAGGTGGGATTTTGTAGCCACGTTCCTGTTTTTGGATTCTACCTCCAATCCCAAAGTCTAACTCTAGACGGTAGGCATGTTTACTCAGAAAGCATTGCTAGATGAAGTCTACCAAGTTAGTTACCCTGGATGGAAGGTGTTCCATCTAGGATGCCCAATGACTAACTAGTCACATACATCAAATCAAAACTTGATTATGAAATCCAAACATTGACCAGAAATTAAAGAGTAGCATATTGTCACTTCTTTGAAATTAACCCCACTTAACCCTTACAAAGGAAGTCGTCAGCCTATCTCCATCAATAGGCTTAAAACAGTGGCTTTTTGGTCATTTGGGCAACACTGGAATTTGTAGTCCTACCCCACTTGTTAGGGCACCACATCAGAGGAGTTTGCCTTGGAGATCCAGGTTGGTTAAACTTTGCTGAAGTTCTCTCTCTCTCTCTCTCTTCTAGATCATGGTCCTCACCATCTTTTCAGCATGCTGGGCAGTTAGAGTTTTGTCAGAGAACTTTGTGTTCACAGGAGGTTGCCTTCCACAAAGTTGGCTCGAGCTCAGAGCTGCCTGAGACTGTGGTTACAAGACCCGTTTACCCACCAACCACTATTAAGCGGGCAGGAGATATTAGAAGTTACCCTGCGGTATTTGTGGTGGCTGACAGGTTGGGAATGGCTGCTTTAGTCTTAATGATAGCAACTTTCAAAGTCTTTTTTCTAATGAAGGAGAGAGCCTTAAATTAAAATAACAACTGGGTAGTATTTGGGATGGGGTAAGGCATGATTTAAGTGTATAGAGCCCTTACACTTTCAAAGCTGCTATTTGTCCCTCATCTTTTCAAGAAATGTTGTGTAGAAATTCAGGGGCCAAGAAAGGAGGCTTTGCTACCCAACATTGGACAGTTCCATGTCCAAGTAACACAAAGCCAACCCGCTCAACCAGACATCCAGATGTGTGGTATGACCCTGACCCTTGACCTATCCCGAGCAGAAATAGGTCCATAGATACAGAGAGCACTCCTGCCAAGAGACAGCTATGAAATATATGTGCTCTAAATTCTAATGGTCTCTTGAGCATAGACCATTCATCCTTGATTTATTCGGCAAGTAGGACATCCTTACCCTGTCTTCTTCTTCTCTCAAATCTGGCATAGTGCTGACACAAAGGCTTATTGCTGTGGTTGCCACAAAGAGGATGGAGAGACAAGCAAATATTTTCCCGGGGAGACCCGACTGGGGGTTTTCCACCATGTCCCTCAAGTTGTTCATGAAACGACCATATTTGGTCTCCTCCTTCTGGGCACAGGCCATCAGCTTGGCCCTCTGCAGTTCATCTTCTTTGTGCTCCTCCGACAGTTCCTCCACCTTTTGAAAGAGCTTCTGGAAACAGCAGTTCTCCAACCTCGACTCTGCAATCCCCCAATACTTTAACTCCTCTTGAAAGGACAGGACACACATATTGTGAAGGAGCATCAGTTTCCCCGCTGCAAGGAAGCTGACAATCATCCCAAAAGCACTTGGGTTCCGGTCAAAGAAGAATTCATGAGTGTCTTCATCATAGTCATCGCAGATCTGGGTGATTTCCTCATAGCTGTTGCACGATTTCAGTTTGCTCAGCCTGGAAGAAGGGAACTCATCCAGGGTGCTCCAAGGTAGGAGGTATTTGCTGCCACCAACATTGATCATGACCTCCTTATTGCCATCGATGGCTCGGAGCTGATCGGAGCAGTAGATTCTCCGGACCTTCTGGTAATGGACCCCTTTGATGGGTGGAGTCTTGTCCCCTGTGATGGGAAGCAGATGGCTCAAAGATTTGCTGGAAGCAAAACCGTAGTCATGTTGTTTGCTCCCAGCGAGAACAGGCATCTCTCAGGATGATCATGGAGGAGCCGAACCACATCTGAACAATGCTAACAAAAGGAAGAGGGGGGGGGAAAGGAGGTTAATAGAGACAGAACTGTGGTCACCTTGAGATAAAGAATCAACATAACCAATTTTCTTTCTTTCAACTCTGCTTCGGAGAACATCTAAGTCATTCCAGAACAGAGGATGCTGCCTGATGCATTGTGGCACGACAAGCACAGACTGCCACCAGATCTGCAGTTTCAGAGGTGGAAATCCCCAGGCTGTGTGGAAGTGACTTGACTCAGAGACCTCCTGAGTAGGGCAGTTACCTAGTATTTAAAACATGAAGACCACCTCAAGGAAATCACCTGTAGGAGTCATGGCTCGATGGGTCCCATGAAGGAACGAATTCCAGTGTGAGCACAATAACTCAACTGAAAACAAGCAATAAGAGCACCCAGTAGCATCAGAAAGTCCATCCGCCCCACTTTCCAACAGAGAAGGTCAAAAGAAGTTCATCCACTAGATATAAAGGAATTGATTTCCTTCCGCTGGTTGACCCTGTCACCTCCTCTCCAGAGACAAATGGTCCTTTGTACGGGAGATGCTTTAACCGACGGCCGACCAATCCATACTTGCATTCATCTCATTCTTTTTAAGCTATCCAAATGGGGACTTTCCTACAGCTGGATCCACGCTAAATTAATTAGGTTGATAAGGGGAGGATTGTGCTCGCTTGACCCAAATCTATTGCAAATCAATTTCACTTAGATGGCAATATTTCCGGGACAAAGGATATCTAGGAGGAGTTAATGAAGCCCTTCATGGTTTCTCTGCTTTGGAAGACTACAGTCATAGCTGCCCATCCTTAGCTGGGTACTTTGCATATTCAGGGTTTCTTTTAAATCTTGGACACGGTGAACAGGGGCTTGTTTTAAAATAACAGCCGACAGAAGCCCGAAGAAATTCCTAGCCATATTTTCTAAATGAAGAGGCTGGTTGCATTTTCAGATCATCATCTGGACAAAAGCCTGTCAGGATTATTTAATTCCAGACCGATTAAGCTTTTGCTTTTACCGAAGGGAACATCTGTAGCTAATCATGCAAAATTCAGAACAGCCTCAAGTTTCGAAATCGCCAAGCTCCTGGGTGTCCTTTGAGGGTCCTCAGACAGCTCTGGAGAAAGTTGAAAACTTGCATACGATTCCCCCCAAATTACCCTGACGACTTTTTAATAGAAATATTGATGAAAGTAACCCTAAGATTGTACATTAATGATAGCAGCATTAGAGAGATTTTGAAGGCTCCCAAGCTTTTACACAATCTCCCAAGGCAACCTGGTATGGTAAAACAGGATGATTTTGCCCCCAAAATTGGCACTTGGAGACATTAAATCCTTTTATTTTGGTTCCTTCTAAAGAGGATGCTGTAGAACCACACAACTGGGAATGGCTGGTTGAACCAGAACAGAAAATCAATCTTGCAGGATTTATTTTTCCATGCTTCGGAAGGCAGCCTAGCCTTCCGTGTGGGTTTCTGAGCCTCGAGGGACTTGGTAAACCATAACCCAACTGGGAAAAAACAACATTGATAGGACCTTGGTGTCCTTCAGTCCCTCTCTTGCCCTGCAGCAAGACAAAAGCCATCCCCAAACCAACTTTCCCAAAGTTACTTACTGCGCTAAACACCGGCTGCATGCAAGCTGTTTCCCTCTCCAAGCAGAGCAGGAGGTGGATTTGCATTGCTGAGCGGGACTGACAGTTCGATCGACATCTGTCGCCTGGATTCCACTGAGAGAGAGAATAAGCAGCTCTTGTCAGCCATCAGGGATCTGCATCTCTCGCTTTGAAGGTGAGATCTCCAAGCATTTTTTTCCTCCCTCCTTTGGCTTTTTCTGCAAAGGAGCAGGAGCTTCCCAGGAGCTGGACGCTCTTCTTCTGAAGCCCAAGGCAGGCAGGGGAGCTTTGCTTTCTCCCTGGAGATTGTCAGCGTGGACCAGAACAAGGCAAGGGAGGGAGGGAGGGAAGGAAGGACTCAGAAATCCTCTTTCCCTTCCCCTCTTTCCAGCATCCTCCAGTCCTTGCCTTCCTGGAGCTAAATGCAGGAGAAGCAACCACTCAACAGCAGTCGGGACGATCGGAGTCAAGCGGCCGTTTATTGTGGAGTTGAGGCTGGCCAAGATAATTTGGGAAAACGGTCCTCTGCTTGGCTGACCTTCTTGACAGTTTCAAAAGGATGCAATTCCTTTGCTTTCCTTCTTTGACTTTGGGGGTGCCCCAAACAGAAGGTTTGGGGGTTTCCTCTTCTCAGGAAGTCAGGAGGTTTCGACTAAGGTGAAATGTTTCAACTAACTCAAGATCCAAACATGCTAAACAAGAATGGACAAAGGATGGAGAAAATTTGATTGAGGGAGCTGGGGTGGGGGAAAGAACGAGATCAAAGGAGTCAACCATTTGCTAGGTGAAAAGTCACCCTCCCCACCCCATTCAGTTCCTAAAATGGGACCTGCGGGGGAGTGGGGAAGGTGTAGGATTGCATGCAACGTCTCCACGTTTGGGGAAGCTCGGTTCAAGGGCATCGTCCGTCCCCATGTGGCTGGGTTTGACTTTCCACTCAGTGCAGACATTTTCACCCGTGCGCCCCAAGGCTCTTTCTTGGACAAAAAGTCAGCAGGTGTTGAGGAATGCTGACAAAATTTGTGAGTGTGTTATGTATATTTGTAAACGCACACACATACACACACACTGGACAGACAGACAGAAATGTTGGCAATATTCCATTCAATTCCCACAACTTTTTTCATTATATTCTAATGTTACTATGCTTGATTCCGCACTAGAATCTTTCCTTCTTTCCTCTCCTTCCTTTCTTCCTCCTTTCTTTCCTTCCTTCCCCCTTCTTTCCTTCCTTCCTTCCTCACTTTCTTTCCTCTCCTCCCTCCCTTCCTCCTTCCTCCTTCTTTCCTCTCCTTCCTTCCTTTCTCCCTCCCTCCTTCCTCACCTTCTTTCTTCTCCTCCCTTCCTCTTCCTCCCTCACTCCCTTCCTTCCTTCCCCTTCTTTCCTCTCCTCCCTTTCTCCCTCCCTCCTTCCTTTCCTCCTTCCTTCCCTCCCTCTTTCCCTCTCTCCTTCCTCACCTTCTTTCCTCTCCTCACTTCCTCTTCCTTCCTTCCTTCCCCTTCCCTCCTCACCTTCTTTTCTCCCTCCCTCCTTCCGTCTTTTCCTTCCTTCCTTGTCATGGACTTCTCAGAGGTAAATTACCCTGCAAAACCAGACCATTAGACAAATTCAGTACCCAAATTCAGCCCCTGATTTTTTTTAAAAATTCAGTGCATTCCCACTCAGTGGAAACCACGGTTGGCCTCTTTGGCACATGGGCCTAGGCCAGGTACCAGGGTTAAAGTAACAATGTGCCACCAGCCTGGTCTGTTTCTGCATATGAAATCTCTGCCTCAGGCAGCAAACTGTCTGGGGAACTTTAGCTCTGCTGAAGTGATTATTTTTTTCAAGATTTCGCTGGTGGCCAAATTAAAAGGAACTGCTTGCATATAGCTCAGGATTGTGTCTTCATATAGCCCATGGGAGGAAATCTCTGCTACAACATTACCCCATGGGCTACTTAATATTAATGATTTTTCTTTAAGAATCCTAGAAAACTTTGCAGTTCTAACTTTTCTTCAGGAGTTTTACCTGTCATGCACCTGATTTCATTATCAACGTTGCCCTCTGTCATTGTCCATCCCAAACACAATATGGACACACACAAAGCAGACCGTAGATTTCATTCCTGGATCCATCTTGTTTTTTTCCAGTAAATCCAAATTGCTTCCCCAGATTCTATTGCCATCTGAAATGTTTTCAAGTCTGCATTGCCAAAAAGAAATAAAAGGTCAAATAAAATTAATATTGCCAAAATTTGCGTGGGCATAGCTTAGACAGAAAACTTGGGTTAATTATACAGTACAGCCAGCCCTTACAAATAACAATAATTCAAACATTAAATGCATCCAATCAAATTATATCAGTAATAAAAAAAAAGAACACAGGAAGTAGCAGGTGGCCAAGATGCCAGAAGAAGAAAAGTTGTGCTGGCTGTACAACAGGAGTCCCCAAACTTGGCAACTTTAAGACTTGTGGACTTCAACTCCCAGAATTCTCCAACCAGTTGAAGTCCACAAGTCTTAAAGTTGCCAAGTTTGGAGACTTCTGCTGTGGAAAGACAACAGAGTTGGAAGTCTTAGTAGACCATTTCAAAACAAGGCAGCGACCATTGAAAGCTTTCTGAAGATAGCAGCTCACCAAAAGAACCATCTCTTGCAAAGGTCTTGAACCTGGACAGTTATGAAACATTGATACTAAAAGTCAAAGTCTAAATTATCCAAAAGAGGTTTCCAGCAAATTTCTTTTTAAGACTCTGCAGAGATTCTCAGTCCTCCAGGTCATGATTGTCCCAAAGGAGCTTTTTCAGGAAGCAACTGGACTTTCTTGCTTTTTCTTTTGAAGACATTTCGCTTCTCATCCTAGAAGCTTCTTCCGCTCTGACTAGGATAGTGGGGAATGGAAGGATTTATACTCCTTGCAGACACAGCTGGTCATTTGCATCCTTTTGGAGGGTCGTTGAGGCCACTTGGAGGTTTATCCATGTCCTCAGGGTCACCTGAGTATCACTCCTGGTTCTTGTAGTCTGCAATTTTTTCTCCAAAAATCCATTCCTACTCCCACACCATTCAAAGGGTGTTCATCCCAAATTCTATAGCTAAAAGTCTGTTGAGACCAGAATGCTATACTATATAAATCCTTCTATTCCCCACTATCCTGTCAGAGCTGAAGAAGCTTCTTAGATGAGAAGTGAAATGTCTTCAAAAAGCAAACAAATAAGAAAGTCCAGTTGATTCCTGAAAAAGCACTTTTGGGGAGTCTTTTTAAGGCCTTCAATGAACTTCTATATACATTCAAGCATTTCAGGTCTCACTGATATTCTGATCTACCACTACAGATGCCCCTGAAGATGTAACTTCTTGCAA